TGTAGCTAAATATGCTAGTAGATGTAGCTAAATATGCTAGTAGATGTTATCTGCAGCCACTTCTTCAGCTCGTCCTCCATCCTTCGTCTTCAGCAGGCAGCTGTAAGATTATATTGTCCTGGTTTAGATCTGACAGGTGGTGTTCCCACAAATTTAAATTAAATCTGCAATGCTCAGAGAAACTACATTAGCTCATACTTTTTGCACATACACAAACGCCGGTTCTGGTCCGTGTCGAAAGTCACACTCATAATTCACGCAAGGCAACATGGGGGCTAGGTGAATAGCAATCACAACTGCTGGCCAACAGGGTAAAACAACTGTTAGTCTGCAGCTTCATCAATAAGCTGGGTTAGAGGTCCTTTATTTTCTTAAACTGGATAAGAAGAACAAAAAAACAAAAACAGTTCAACTTTAGTTGGGTTATGCTGTAATATTTGGAATAACCTGGAACCTGGGTTATTGTGTTCACCCATTTTCTTGCCTTCCTCTGCTGGGGATCAATAAAGTGCTAACTCATCTTATCACCAATCTCAGATTTACAGTTTATTTGTTTGTATTAAATATAACAAATGAAAACTGTGTCCAGGTTCATAACAGAGACTGAAATCTCACGATCCAATAATACATTTTCGGTCACAGCTGGTTCATATTAAAAAACAAGTACAATTTTCTGCCTTTTTGTGGTTGAACAGACCCTTTAAAGAAAGGCAAACAGAGCTGGTTGAGGTGAAAGGATGACAAGATGAATGAATCAATTAATGGACAGCACAACACTGATCTCTGCAGGACCTTCATGCATGGGTCTGCACCCAGACGCCACCAGCGATGCATTAAGCCATGCCGGCGCCACCTCCATATTCACTCAAAACATCTGTTGACAAGAAGCTGGTCACTCTCCATTACTGCCGCTCAGCACAGACAGGTTTCATGTTTCTGGCTTTTTCCCACCAAACAAACAAAATGATTTAAATACGTCCACAAAGAATCTGAAATTGCTTCGCCCCCAGAGGTTGTTTTGAGTGGACAAAGAGATGGACAGCGTCCCCAGCCAAACAACGTCAAACATCCCAGGACGGCCTCTCCATCATGGCCCAGACCCATTTTTACCCCCAAACCTAGTGAAACAACAGTAGTAGTTCTGATGGGCAGGAACAGACACATAGGAAACAAGGGCAGGTGGGCGGCCCAGACAGAAAACAGGAAGTGATGTAAGGGCAGGGACAGGAAACTTGTCATTAGCAGGAAGAACATACCAAGTCTAGAACAGAGATAGCTGGGACAGCAGTCTGCTGCTGAAGAAGAAGAAGAAAATCAAGAGTAAGAGAAGGAGGGCAGGAGGGTGGAAAGAAAAGGAAAATACTGGAAAAAAGAAGGTGTGGAGGCGATTCAGCTGAATTTAACAGAAAAAAGGAGGGGAGAAAGTACAAACTGAGGAGTAACGCGAGGAGAAGGGAGGGGAGGACACACAGAGAAGTGAAAACATTACTGAGGTTGTTTTTGGTTTCAAGTTGCTCAGCGCTGATTAGTAGCCGTGAAAGACTTCCCTAATCCACCAGCTGTAGATTATACAGAGAGTTCATGTTCTGTTTGTTTCTACAAAATGTGGGAAAAAAGTTTTTAATCTGAATACAAACGTACCGCCGGTTTGATTTTTTTTTTTTAAATGCGCATTATGGAAGCTAATTGCTGTTTGGAGTTCTGTTTTTAGCTTCATAAACATTCAGTGAATTTTTGTGTCTGTTTACGTTTAGTTTTTAGATTTATCGTGTACTTCATGCGAGTCCTGACGGGAATAATCTGACGAACGATGGATTTTTTTTTTTCCTTTGGGGATTGATGAAACGCAACTTAAATAAACTGCAGCGACTTCAACCACATGGACCCAGTTACACTGCGGGCCGTTTTTGTTTACAGGTTGTAGTAACTATGCCAGGCCTGTGGGTGGCGCTGCGACTGCCACAGAGCGTGACTACAAACAGGAAACGAGTTGTGGAGCATGCATGAAAAGCTTCGCTTGATGAAGAAACTGTGAACACCAAACTCAAAGTTTTCTGTTCATCGTCTAGTTTTATGTGGGGTGCGCTAATGTTCCTTCTGCTAACTGAAAATCTATTTTGCTTTAGTTGAGCATCGAGGTTCTGTTGCATCTGCAAAAACGTTGTGTTTTAAGTGTCTACACGGAAATGCAAGGTTGGCCTTTGAAGACTTTTAATCATCCCGAAACCCATCCTCAAAAAAAAAAAACTTTTAGGGGCTCCTAAAACAGTCGTGTGGATGCAAGGCTGATTTTTTTTTTTGCAAATGGGCTCATTCCCATGTGGATGGTCCCAAAGTTACGTCACAAGATAATGAGACTGATAAGGTTCTTGCTGTTAGAGGTGGTTCTACAAGATAACTCACATGGTTTTGGTTTTTCAATCACCGCTTCTGCGTTTCTGTTAAATAAATGATTACACTGTGCAGTCTGAGATCTTGTTGCTCAAGTTGACCTCATTCACAAACTTTATCAGGAACACATATTTTCAGATCAACTGAAAGAGGATAAACTTTTTAACCGTGACTGGTTTTCATGTTCATGCGTTGGGTTTAAGGAAACTGATAGGTGGAAACAAATCTTCAGGAAACTTCTGTCCCAACACTGAATTTAGCAGCTTTAATGAAAGTGTTGCCCTCCTTCCTGCCCACACCCTGCCATCCCCACCCCCACCCCCTCCAGCCAATCAGATTTAAGCAGCTCAGCATGGCAAAGCGATGACAGAAGCATGTTGCAGATGCACACTGCGCGACATTCATAGTGGGAGCGCTGCCACAGAGGAATCCTTTTCCTCTTGAAGCGTTTAAAAAAAAGGCAGTTCTGTTTTTCTCCCCATCAGCCTGATTTCACTGAATCGACCCCCCCCCCCCCCTCGTGCACTTAACTGCAGATTTGTCTCTAGTGTGAGCTGATGGGTAAGATAGCTTGAAAAAAACAGAAGTCAGATTTATTCCTGCAGAAAGAAGCATCATTTACTCCCATTTGTTTCTAACCCTCCTCGTCACATCATTTAATTTTTTCTCCTTTACATACACCTCAGCTCCCCCCTCCAGCTGTAACCACCCATCATCTCACCCTGGCTCTCTTCTCGGCCTCCAGCCTCTGCATGATCAGCATGTGGTCCATGTCCTCATCGTCCTCCTCCTCCTCGTCTTCGTCGCTCTGTTTGGACTCCTGCAATCGTTTCTGGAACTGCCACTCCAACATGAGCTTCCTGAGGCGGTCGCTTTCTTCTGCCGTTCGCTCTGGTTTTGACTGAGAACCAGAATAATTAGATTGAAACTGGACTTCAACGTCACCAAGAACATTAAAAATAATTTGTATTAAAGTAAATAACTTGCACAATTCTCGTTAGTTTCCACGATTTAACTGGTCTGAATCAAAGTTACCTGAAGTTCCTGGATTTCTTTGTCCAGCAGGTCGACGATGTGAAGCTGCTGCTGTTTCTCTGCCTTTTCTCGGGCGTCTCTCTTCCAGGGGTCCGGAGACAAACTGTCGCTGGCCGACAGCCCCTCCTTATTGATGGTGATGTACTGCAGGTCTCGCCTCTCGATGGTCCGCGGCTGCTGCTGAGGGAGCAGCTCCCTGATCACCGTGTCCATGCCTGCAGTTTTAACCACGGCCAGAACATTATTATTTAAAACATCTTATTATACTGAAAATCAAGCTCAGCATCAAATTCAAAATTTCAGGAACCTTTTCAGTTTTGGAGGAGTCTTTAATTTACATAATAATAAGAAAAACATTTTGCTTTTAAACGTTACTCAGTGTAGATGAAGCCAGAGAAACGTTTGTGTCAGGTGTGTTACCTGCAGGGTTGGAGGCACAGGCGGTGGGAGGCACCGCTGACCGCGGCAGGCTGGACAGCTTTTCGGGTCTGGAAGGGGGAGGCTGAGGCTGCGGGGGGAGGTAAGGCTGGGGCGGGGCCATGGAGGCCATTGGGGGCTGGTGATGAGGAGGAGGCATGGCTCCTCCGTTGTTGTGAGGTTGGACGGGCATGACGGGGTTGGCCCGGATCTGACCCAACTTCCTCTCCTGTTCCCTCCTCTTTCTCTCCCTGAAGCATCAATGATACAAATTATACACATGAAAATATAATTTCTGATGAGGTAACTCTGTAAAATAACCACTTTAAACAAAAAAAACCACACGACTGCAGCAGGCGGACCCATTTCAGGTCCATGAATGCTTTAATGCTTGTTTTGAAAGGCGAGCCCACCTCTCTTCTTCGAGCCGTGCCTTCTCCTTCTCATACCAGCGCTGCTGCTCCTCTCGTTTCTTGCGATCGGCGGCTTGCTGCGCCGTCGCCGGGCTGATGGCGGTGGGAGGCGGCGGCAGCGGCAGGTCGGTCTGCGGATCGTAGGCGTCGGGGTAGGCAGCGGGAGGAGGCGGAGGAGGAGGGGGCAGGTCGGAGCGGGACGGCGCCTGCACCGAATGCGGCGGCACAACGTGAGGGGTGTTGGGAGTCTTCCACCGCCCCGCCCCGGTCCTCTGGTTCTGGCCTTTATTTGAAGAAGTGGAAGAATTGGAGAAATTGAGGTGCTCCTGACTTGATGTCGACGACTCTAACGAGGAGGACACCGGCTGCGGGGTCCAGAGGTCCTGTGGTCCTCCGACACCTGCAGAGAAAATACATAAACATAAAGACTCGGTCCAAGTGAAGATTTTCATTTTGATGCCAAAACCTATTTGGGTTCTGATACTTTTATGTCTATAATCCTAAACAGACCAAATATGGAGCCTGGAGGTTTGTCACAAACAAACTACATCATCAACTTGGACTCTCTGTGTAACGCAGCCTCAGACATAAGCTAATTATAATTTACAAAACTTCTCTTTGCCTTCTGTCTTTCTAAGCCCAACTCCTCCAGAAAACAATAAGAAGTCATGACTTCAGCTCCTTATATGCTCAGTGAGCTCCTGCAGAGTTAGTGAAGAAAGTGATTCAATATGCTGCCAGCTACATTTCACGTCTGCTCCAAGATCACCTGGAAATGAAAGGCTCGACTCAGAAAGTGAATTGAAACACATTTTAAACATTGTAGCTGAACAAAAAAAAGATCTGTGTAATGACTGATCGCGGCTACAACGGTTTATGGCGGCTCTTAGAATGAATCAATGCAAATATTTATGCCTCTTCAGTTGACAAAGTTTGTAATTTTAATCTTTTTGGTTGGTCGTTTTGGGCTTTAGTAACTTTTTTACAACGGTTGTCTCGACTTGAGTAAAGATGTTAAATTATATAAAAAAAATATTTTTAAAATGACGCAATGTTTCCTGTGCAGGTGGTCAAGAAACAAAAAGAGCTTCATGTTTAAAATTACTAATACTCGTGGCTTAGACCAGAGGTGGGCAACATGTTTTTCCAAAGGGCCACATCAAGATGTTTAAAGCGATCAAAGGGCCGCGTAGAGAATTGGAAAATAAATTGTCTTTATGACAGATAAGACCTTTTTCTTATTGTAGCATAGTTAGCATGTTTTATAAAATAAGTCTTTCCAAAATCCTTTAAGAAAATAAGACGTTCTGTAAACTGGCTCTTGTGACAATATAGTACACATGAGCTTAATATGTTATACATGTTAGCGGAAATATGAAAAACAAACATGTATTTGTGCGTCTAAGTCTTTAAGGTTCTGTCTAGTTCTGGAGACGCAATGACTTAAATGTTTTTTGTTGTTGTCTGTTTTTCGCAAGATGTTTACTTTTATTTTTTCTTTAAGTCTCATTGATAAATTGCTGCTTCTTTATTTTTTTTTAAATCAAACTATTTAAATTATTTTTTTTTTTTTTAAACTAAGGATATTGGGGGCCTGATGGAGACTGTCCAAGGGCCACTTTTGGCCCTAGGGCCTTAAGTTGCCCACGTCTGGTTCAGACCGTTGTGTCTAAAGCACTATAGCAGAAAAACAAACAAAACAAAACAAAAAAAAATACATATATATATATATATATATATATATATATATATACAGTATATGGTGGTGTTGTTGCTGTATGTGCTGTTTTTAATGACACCCCGAGGGTGAATAAAGAAAGAAACCCAGACAGTGTGAGAAACTTTCAGCTGCGTTCGACTCTGCAGGAGGAGAACGCCGTGAACTTTCCCCTTATTGAAAAAGAGGAAGTCTGCCATTCTGGACCCATCTTGTATTGATCATCATTGTGTTTTTTTTAAATTTATTTATTTTATCAGAGTTGGACCGTAAGTTTAACACTAGAAAGCTCCTGGAGAAACTTTGACGGGGACTGCCACGCTGCTGCCAATTTTAAATTGTGATTTGCCAGTACTCTGTGTTGGGGTTCGCATTCTGACTTTTGTTCAGTGACCTCTCAACTCTAAGTCATGTGACCTCACTGTGGCAGTTAGAAGCTGTGAAGAGTTGTGTCAGTGATTTTCATTTGTTTAAAAATTACGTCACCATGGTAACTCGAAACACCAACACATCACGGTGCCGAGCCGGTCGTCTGTGGGGGTACACGTTGCGGTTCGGGCTGCATCAAAGTTGACGGAAGACTAAGATATAAAGTTAAGAAACCCTAAGTCAGGTGGATAACAATAGGTGCTGCTTTATAGGCAGTTCCCAATTAAAGCTTTCCATGTGGCCTTTTGTTGGGACAGAATACCAGGAGAGAAATTCAAGGTTTTGTTTTGTTGTTTCTGTCAGATAAATGTTACAAAATTAAACAGTTCACAGAATTTGTTCTGGTTTCACAGATTAAGGTCACACGTTCTGCTCTGATACTATTTATACTGAATAATCATGAAATAATATCCTAAGTTTGATTACATTTTAGAGGAACATTTGGGTTCTGATAATCGGCTTAATAATCTGGTTGTTAATGCTCCAACAGAAGCTGCAGAGTCTTTTTTTTTTTAATCCCATCTTATTCCTGGCGCTTTGATCTGAGGTCAGTTTTTACCTCCTGGTGGACCTCGGTGCTGGTAGTCCAGATCCCGGTGCTGGTATTCCTGCGGGTAGTGAGGCTGCATGCGCTCATCAGGCCTCACAGGTGGGGGGTACAGCTCCTCCTGGGAGTGATTGATTCTCTGCAAAGACGCAATCAGTTAAACGAGCATTAAACGTTTCCTCGGTATCGAAACTTGTTAAAAATAAACAGAAACCGGTTCGTTTCAGGGTCTGTTTCGTACCTGCATGCTGTTGTGGATGTTTTCGACCACAGGGAGGCGTTCTCGGTCCTCCATGACCTGCCAGTGTTGTGAGGGTGGCTGTCCTGGACCCATGACCCGATCCTGGCCCTTGGAGGCCGGGGTGGTGAAGTACTCCCTGGAGTAGGTCTGGGTGGGGATGGGGTAGGCCTCTGGATGAGGAGGAGACGGTTCATCCTGACAGATAAAAGAAACAAAACACAAAATCAGTGAAGACAAAAGTACCAAATACGGCACATTATATGTCCATCAACAAACTATTATATACATCGATCCATAGCAATGGACCTCGTGTAACCTTTGACCTTCATTCGTGACCTTGACCTTAGAGCTGAGAGATGGAAAGATTATGAGACACTTCGCTTAGTGATTATGCAGAGAATAATTGTTTCATTTAATTAACTTGCGCGGATCAGAAGTTACAGTCGGGACAATAAAGACCTTGTATAACATTTGACCTTGATTTGTGACCTTGAAGCTGGGGCGATGAAAAGCACACGCGACACTCCATGATGATGCATGCGTTCTGTTCAGTTATCTTGAGCAGATCAGACGTTATGGGTGAGACAGACAACCGCGAAATGTCCGCCATCGACGGACGTCTAAAAAAACAGAACATTTTCTCGGGACTATACGGTCGAACCGTTTACGCTGCGTGAGAAATCCTCATTCCTGCTCGAGTGTCACTCCGGTGTTATCTGGCCTGCTAACACATTCCACATGAGGACGCTACAATCCTGAATGCTGCAGACTTACGTCAGGACAAAGGTTGCCCGTAGAGACGGAGGTGATCTTCGTGCCGGGTCCTCCGGGGTACACGGACTTACTCGCAGGACTCTGGCCCTGATCTGACACAAGACAAGAAAAACATAGACCAATAACACAAATCTTCACACGAGTACTTGTTGTTATTGCATCAATTCGATAGTAAAAAACAAACTGATTGTAATTAGGGAAGCACGATGTTATCGGCACGGTATCGGCCGATATTAACGATAAAGTTAAATATCGGACACTCCATCAAAATAACTCAGCGACATAAAAGGCGCAGTTTTTGTACGACAAGGATGCCTGCAGGGTCAGCACAACGTTATGACATCACGCGAGTTGTTGAGTTTAGATTTGTGAACATTTACAAATGTGCACTGTTCGAGGGTCGTCATCGTGTTACAGAGTAAATGTCGTGAATAAATTTGACATTAAACATAATCCAAGTGGAAGTGTTGCATCATTTCCAGCCTCCTTTATGGCATCTGCATTTGGGAGCAGGCAAACTGACAAAGACCGTGCAGAAAATATATATAAAAAATAAAAATATATCTGTATTGTATCGGTTATTGGCCAAATAGGTTTTGACATATCGGATATCGTCCAAAAATCTAATATTGTGCATCCCTAATTGAAATAGTTCTTTGTCTTTTGGAGTCTAGAAAACAAAACTGTTGAATCCTCAGTTTCTGGAGTGGCTGAAAATAAAAACAAATCTTTACCTTGAACCCAAACTCGGTTCTAGCAAATGCATTTGATTCTTAAATAGTTCGATCATATTAGGCGTACCGTACGTCTCATGATAAGACCCGTGAAACCACGCCGAGCACGACCACTTACTGGCCACATTGGGGCTGGAGCGGTGGTCGGCCCGGTTCTTCAGAAGCCGCTCTTCACCGCTCATCTTCTTCGGCTCGGGGTAAGAGTCCCAGCCGGGCTGCGGGCTGTCGGGAGAACCGTTCTGCGCCGTGTTGTTGTACAGCTCGAAGCCTTCGCTCTTCGGTCGCATCTTCCCGTTCTTATCTCGACCTCGGTCCGCCGCTGCCGAGAGAGAGAGAACAGTTCTGGGTTTTCTTGCTGGAAACCAAACGATGCTGCAGTTTTATCAGCGAACAGAATATTTACTGTAATCCCAGTGGGTTGGAACTAATTTCCTGTAATCTGGACTGGCGAGTTATTTTTCTGAGCTCATATTTTCTGAACTTTGAACTGAACAAGGTTGATTTTATATAAACAAACTGAAAGCAGCTCGCTCGAATCACATGAAGTTCTTTTTAAGTGAACTGTTGCTGTATGCAAAGAAAAATAAAAACTTTTCCAAACTCGGTTTAGAACAATTTGGTCAATTTGAGACTTTTTTTTTTGGACCAAGTAAAAATATTTCCTGTAAATGTACATAAAGTCTAGATGATCGACAAGGTTTATTTACTGCTTTCTTCAAATTTGATTAAAACATAAAATAAAAAGACACCAAAAGGTGAACGGAAAGAAATGAAAATTCTAGAAAATAAAATAAAATAAAAATCTCCCAGTAAATAATTTATGATGTTAACCACAGGGATACAATTGTTACTGAACAAACTTTGTTCCCTATAAAAGTATATTATTATCAACATTTAGAATAAAATAAAAAAATACTGTCGGGGTCAGTTTAATTTTTTTGAAAGATTAGCTGCATTAACTACACACCAGGGCTGTTCAACTGGCGGCCCGCGGGCCACTTCCGGTCCGCGAGAGACTTCAGTCCGGCCCACCAACGAGTTCATAAAAAATAAAAATGCTGGATCCCAGTAGCTGTGTCCCCTGAGCTGCTGGCTCCCAGTAGCTGTGTCCCCTGAGCTGCTGGCTCCCAGTAGCTGTGCCCCCTGAGCTGCTGGCTCCCAGTAGCTGTGGCCCCCTGAGCTGCT